TGACATGGCATGGATGAATGGGGAAATAGCAAATGAGATAAAAGGAACTGAAATTTTACCGAATGAATGGGCAGACCATAATCCAATTCAAATAATATGGAAGGGTAGGAAGAAACCAAAGAAAAGATGGACATTAAATACTCAATTAATAAGAGAAAAAGAGTATATTAACAAACTTAAGGAGGAATTAAACTATTTTTTAAAGGAAAATGATAATGGTGTAACTTCGAAACAGAATTCCTCCTCCAGCCATGTTAGCTCAGGAATTCTGAGAGTTGAAATCCACAAGTCTTAAACTTGCCAAGTTTGAAGACCCTTGCTGTACTGCAGCACAAAGAAAAAAATATCTGCTATGAACTCTGCATAAGCATCAGGAAGGGGATCCGGCCAGTAAATGCTTGGCTCCATTCAGTTGCCCCAACTCTACCCTGAATTAAGGGATTAGAGTCATAAAAAGGGGAGTACTGCAGGCTACTTCTGTTGATCACTAGCTGCCAGCAGTTTGGTAGTTCGGGTCTCACCAGGCTCAAGGTTGACTCAGCCTTCCATCCTTCCAAGGTCAATAAAATTGTTGGGGGCAATATGCTCACATTGTAAACCGCTTAGAGAGGGCTGCTTTTGCTATTGCTATTAGAAAATCTGAAGGCCCAGACTCGGGACAGATTGTCAATATAAAATCTATTAAAGTAGTCCTTAAAAGAAGACATGAACTTGATAGCACATTATCTATCATCTCACGGTCTCCATTGACAAAATATGATTAAAAATCAATTCCAAACAGGTACTCCTCAATTTATGACCACAGTTGGGATTAGGATTTCTGTTACTAATTAAGGTGGTGGTTAAAAAATGAGTCTTGCCTGATTTTAGAGTCTTTTTTTTTTTTGCCATGTTTTGTTAAATGGAGTTGTGAAATCCAGCTTCCCTGACTTTGCTTCTTGGAAGCCACCTGGGAAGATTGGAAATGGTGATCGCATTACCCCAGGATGCTACAACTATCATAAATACTTGCCAGTTACCAAGCACCCAAATTTTGATTATGTGACATTGTAACTCTGAACAATTGCTAAATAAATGGTTGTAAGTTGAGGACTACTTATACCTGTAGTAGGCACTGACTCTTCCCACCATAGTCACTATTTCTGCAGCTAAACATACCAAGATACTTTAGAGCAGAGGTCTCCAACCTTGGCAACTTTAAGACTTGTGGACTTCAACTCCCAGAGTTGCTGGCTGAGGAACTCTGGGAGTTGAAGTCCACAAGTCTTAAAGTTGCCAAGGCTTTAGAGCAATGTTTTTCAACCTTGGCAGCTTTTAAGATCTGTGGATTTCAACTCCCAGTCCCCCAGCCAGCATGCTGCCTGAGGAATTCTGGTAGTTGAAGTCCATGCATCTTTTAAGCTGCCAAGGTTGAGAAACATTCTTTTAGAGTTCCACATAGCCAGACTATTTGTCACCTAAGTAAACCTTTCCTGAACTTGGTCTAATTTACCTCTCTCTACTACTGTAGTGCCCAGAACTAGACACTATATACAAAATGGAGTCTGGTCAAGGCAGAATAGAATGACCTGCTGTGATCTGGAGCCGTGTTCCCGTTAACACATTCCAGGGAAACTTCTGCCCATTTTATCAGTTGCATTGCAGGTTGATGTTGAACTTGTGTCCAATGAGGTCATTTGGATTCCTTTCACATGGACTCCTGCCTGTCTCCCACCCTGTCTGTGGGCCTTATATTTCTCCTGTCTTATTTGCAGAACCGGTTTCTTCCTGCTAAATTCGCAACTATCTATTTCAGTCCATTGTTCATGTTTATCTAGCTCTTTTTGAATCTTCTTTCATTTAAAGCAGGGGTGTCCAAACTGTGCCAACTTTAAGACTCGTGGAATTGAAGAATTCAAGTTGCCAAGGTTGGACAACTCTGATCTAAAAAAATTACCTGCATCTAATTGTGTATCATATTGAAATTTGTAATCTCTCCCCAATTTCCTCATTCATATTGATAAACATGAACACCATAAGCCCCAGAACAGAAAAGTGTGTGTCTCTCAGTTGAATGTGTCCATCCAGGACCAATTTATTAGTACTCTTGGGATGCGATCATTCATACCATGAGTCCATTAACCAATGAATGAACAGCCTTCTATGGGAAGAGGGTCTTGAGGAATGCCATTGTAAACTAGTTTAATCTACACTAGGAAAGCTTTTTCCCTTTTCTGTTTAGCTTGTAATTCCCAGATGAAAGAGAAGCACTCAAATTTTAAACAAACTTTATTGGCTACCATAAGAAACTGGAATACAGTAAATTTAAATTAAAAAAAAATCCAAGTCTATAAGGAATACAGACAGAAGAACAGTAAACATGAGATATAAACAAACTTGATCAATAAAACATATTAAAAAGAAAGTTTAAGAAAAAAACTTATGTAGACATAAGTTATACCCCCCAATGGTACTTCCCTTCAGTTCAGCTGGCCAAGTTACAAAAAATTCTGATTAAGTTAACATCAGTTCTTTCTATACCTAGTATATTTTCAGAGGGAAAACCCTTATTTTCTGAGAAGTTGACAAGGTTTAATTGTCACGGCTAGCAGCAAGACTATTTTTATATTTAAATTAGTAAAAGTTGGGTTCACACATTGCACTAAGCCACAGGTTTAACTAAACTCTGTCAATATTCTTGTAATTGCCTAGTTTGCACCTAATTCAAAGCCCAAGCAAAACTCTATGAATAATGTATCTTCATCAGAGGAGTGAAGAAACTTGATTTTCAGATGTTGCTGAAATATAATCCCAGCATTACTTACCACTGGTCCTCTTGGTTGGGACTGACTATGGAAACCATTATTAATTGAAGGCCTTCAGTTTCCCCATGTTTAGGTAAACATAATATATAAATCCACCCAATGTGTCTGTCTATGCAATGTTAGCAAAAATCTTTTATATTTTAATTTTGTAACTGTTTTCTGTGAAAATAAGACATAATTTTGTTCCCAAGGTGCTTCAGTTAAAACTGAAGCAGCTTCCTGATGAGAAGCGAAACATCTCCAAGGAAAAACCAAGAAAATCCACTTGCCTTTCGGAAAAACCATCCTTGGGACATGCAATTAAATATGCAGATGATCATCTAAATCCAAGGTTCCTCCTTAAAGCTATGTGAAAAATGTCTCATCCAGTACGAAGGAAACATATTTATCAACTGTACATTTTTGGACATAAAATGACCAAACCTTAACTCAGAATATCTTCTATTACACTGGTAAATATCAACCTTTTATATTAGCTCAATGAGACACATTTTAAATTAGTTGTTTCTTCGATCAGATCTGGGCAAATGTATCACTGATACATCTAGTACAGCGATGTCAAACTCAAGTCATCATGTGACCTATCGGGACTTTTTTCCCCTTCACTAAACTGGGCTTGGGCATGGCCAGCGCATGACATATGCAGCCTGCAGGCCGCGAGTTTGACAGCCCTGGTCTAGTACTTTGGCTGAGGAATTCTGGGAGTTGAAGTCCACAAGTCTTAAAGTTGCCAAGGTTGGAGACCCCTGCTTTGGACAGTAGTAGCTGAAAACGTTAGGACTAAGCTGGTGCCGTTCTACAACAATGTATTGTAGCATTCTCCAACAAGGTGTTCTTCAGGTGTTTTGAGCTACCTGTCAGAATCTCTAGTCACAATTATCATTACTGGCAGGAAATTCTGGGAGATGCAATTTTATCAAATATAAAAAAAATGCATTGAACAATTTTTTATCACCAGCTTTCTCAGGTTTCGCCAAGGCTTTTCTCTCCCTACTTCCAATCTCCATTTCTGCCCTTGATCTTTAGTGGTATTTTTGTTATGCTCAGGTAGTCCTTGTCATGACCATTTGCTTAGCAACCATTCAAAGTTATCATGGACCTCCCGAAGTTTAAGAGTGGATTCAAAGTGCCAATGGCCATGTGACTTCCAGTCATGTGATCACATTTTGGCACCCAGAAACTGGCCTGCATTTATGCCCATTTGCAATATCCCATGCTTATGGGATAATAATTTACAACTTTTTAAAATGGAAACTGACATTTAGTTGTTTTTTTGGCAAAAAAAAAATGTCCACTGTGCACGATGAGTTCACTTAATGACTGCCGTAAAAAAATGTTCTAAAATCATGTCAGCCACATGGTTGCCTCAACTTATAATTGTCATGATATACAACAGAAATTCAAGGCTCAGATTAAGGTTGTAAATTGAAGACTATCTCTAAAAGCAAGACCACAAAAACCATTAGCTAAGATATTGGGGATTTTGTGCAACAAGGAAGAATTCTGACTCACTGGGTTTTTATTTAACCGGTAATGCAGATGATATTGTTTTAGTAAGTTGTGTGAAACCATCTATTATTGTTGCGGTGGTTTCTCAACCACAGTTTAAGACTGGACAATGTGTGAACCTAGTGTGCTATGGCTTGATCAATAAATAAAATTGCAGTTGAGGGAGAGATGTGTGAATCTAGGCACTATAGATATGGACATTGTTTAGAGCCTCTTTCTCCGACTTAAAAAAAAAACTGGTAGGCATTACTAAAATGCTGAATACATCAGCCTTGCTTGTAATTTCTTCATGGCCTACGGCTATGGGATGGGACTTACGGCTGCAACTACTGACAGTTCTCACAATCAATTTGTTAGCTGCTATAAAAATATAAGTACAGTCCCAAGCACATCTACTCACAATCAAGCCCAGATATGGCTGCACCCAAAGTTGACTAAATCTGTTACCAGCACCCTATCTTCCCTTCAGGAAGACTGGTGAGTGAACGTTTTGAGATTTCAGGCAAACAAACAAACCAAGAAGATTAATGAATAGAAGGAGTACAATAAAAAAGAAGAAATCAGTGGTGAATGTCCAGGGAAGAGCATAAACATTTCACACATATGGACACAACAACCCTTCGCATCATACTTGGTTTATGCTTTAGAGAGCTGGATTGAAATTCCTCAAGTTTTATTTAAATGCACCATGAGATAAGACCTAATGGAGAGACACCTTTACTGCAACTCCTGCAGAAAATCCACCACAATTGTGCCCCTTGACAGAAACAGGGACATGCCTAGTTGAAAGGCTACAGTGGAGGGCCTGTACAGCTTCTTCATGAGAAATGGGAGGGAGAAATAATAAGCAAAACTGCCCTTGCATCCAACGGGCATCCCTCTTTGTATGAGTAGTCGATCAAAAAGATCATGGCTTATAAATTAAGTTAAATCATGTTATAAAATGACTTAAAGCTTTATTCTACCCAACTAAAGCATTTTTATTATAGCAACAATGTTTTTATTAAAAAATACGCATACACAAGCATAGGAGATAAATTGTTAGAAGATAATAAACCACAGAATGTTTCCGTAAAAGCAGGAGACTGTATTTAAAAGAAATGTTGAGTGTTCAGTATATTCTTAAAAAGTCATGGCTTTGCACTGAGGAACAGAGCAAATAAACCCTAGGGTTGTATGCATTTCTTTAAAAACCACCATGATGGATGAGAGATTATTACTTTGCATTATTTTAAAGGAAACACTTTCCTACAATAAACACTAATTTTGGTTATATATTTTTTTGCTCCATTTGTCATTTCAAGGCAACCCATACACAGCAGTGCCGTTTTTGCTTGTTTTTTTTAGCTTGCATCAATAAATATATATTTTGGACGGGTTCCAACATTACATCCGTTTTTATATACTTCCTCTCACACCTCTACATTTTTTTAATCAAGAATTCTCAACAAGCTGTATTTCCAAGAATTTCTTTGGGGAAGCCAAGCCAGCCCATGTCAAAATGGCTTTTAGTTTAAATATGGCTGGAGAGACCATGCTGCGGGTGCAAACACTTCATTCTTCCTTGGGTCAACCCATTCATCCTTCAATATGCACACTGGAGGGAGGGAGAGGGAGAGAAGCCATGGACTGTATCTTGTTTGACCAAACAAACTTTCCATGAAGGCTAATTAAAACGGGCAAGGGACCCCGGATTCTGTACACCACTTTGTTATTGGAAAGAAAATGTTTCCCCTTCTAGTTTCCTTGCCTCTCAGCTCCTGCACTCTGTCTTTATTTCACTCACACGGCCAGCCTGAGGAGCATCACCAAGGGCAAACTGAGTAGAAGTTCCCAGGCTGGTCAGAGCCAGAGGCTCACTTGGGACCAACTTCTCCTCATTGGCCCAAGGGTGCTCAGGAGCTGGGGACACGGTAGCTGCTCCCGGCTGGGTTAACTCAGTTTCGGAAAGAGACGTTCCCAAGGTCCCATCCTTCACATGGACTCTCTGGTGGGACACCAGGCGTGAGCTCCGGGCAAAACATTTCCCACAATCCGAGCAGGTGTAAGGTTTCTCTCCGGTGTGAATCCTCTGGTGAGTGACCAGGTCTGCGTTGATCCGAAAGCTCTTCCCGCAGATGTGACATTCATAAGGTTTCTCCCCCGTGTGGATTCTCTGGTGCTTAATGAGGTCCGAGCTGTAGCTGAAGCTTTTCCCGCAGATGCCGCAGGGATACGGCCTTTCTCCAGTATGGACTCTCTGGTGGCAGATGAGGTGCGAACTCCGCTTGAAGCCTTTCCCGCAATCGGGGCATTCGTAAGGTTTTTCTCCTGTGTGGTTCCTCTGGTGGGTGACTAAGTCGTAATTGACCCGGAAGCTCTTCCCACAAATGGAGCACTCGTACGGTTTCTCACCCGTGTGGACCCTCTGGTGCCGGATGAGATGGGAGCAGTCCCGGAAACGCTTCCCGCAGATCCCACAAGGGTAGGGTCTTTCGCCGGTGTGGACCCTCTGGTGGGAAATGAGGTGGGAGCTGCGTGTGAAGCTCTTCCCGCAGTCAGAGCATATGTAAGGTTTCTCTCCGGTGTGGCTCCTCTGATGGTTGACTAGGTCGTAGTTGGAACGGAAGCTCTTCTGGCAGATAATGCACTCGTAGGGCTTCTCCCCAGTATGGACTCTGCGGTGGGACATCAGCTGGGAACTCTGGGAGAAGCCCTTCCCGCACTCCAGACAGATGTAAGGTTTCTCCCCAGTATGGACCTTTTGATGGGCCACCAGGTCTGAGCTGAAGAGGAAGCTCCTCCCGCACTCGAGGCAAGAGAAGGGCTTCTCGTCCGTGTGACTCTGCATGTGGGCCACCAAGTCAGCTTCCTGGTTGTAACCTTTCCCACAGACAGGGCAGGGTCGCAGCTTCTCCTCCTTGTGAACCCTCTGGTGCTCCACGAGGCAGGAGCTCCCATTAAAACATTCCCCGCAAACAGGGCAAATATACTGTGTCTGTGACAGATAAACCTTCTCGCTGTCAGTCACGTCGCCATTTACGG